CCCCACGAGGCCCTTTTTCAGCTTCCAGCAGTACTCTGCTGGACAAAAATGGGCTGCATGGAGGCCTCTCAGAGGCACTACGAGGCCCGTTTTTGGTCAGCAGAGTGCTAATGGAGGCCAGGAGGCCAAAAACACCTACCCTGCGACCCATTCTGGCCAGCAGAGGCACTGCGGGCCGATACTTTGAAGGCTGGCTCCATGGGTCAGATTTAAGCACCCAGTGGTCTAGACTCTCTTCCTCTCTTCAAACTATCTATACTTTGCTATCTCTTATTTCTCTGGAATGCAGACACCCACGCCCTTTCCTGCGAATCCAGACATTTCACCACGAGAACTGTACTCAGGTATAGTAGTGCAGTAATAAAGCTCCAGAGTAGACATTTTATGAAGACATCAACATCCCCTTAGGGAACTACAGTACAGTCTCCATAATATGCTGTCCCCCTGGCTTTGAGTTGGTAGGAAAAAAACATTCCTGCCCTTACACTTTTTAAATTAGGATAAGTTTGTAACCTGACAAGCAAAGTCAAGAAGCCAGATTCGCCTTACAACCATGTTATTAACTTAATAATTACAGTGATTCACTTCACTATGCAAGATAGCCAGGTATAATTCTCAATTTGCAACCACAAACGAGCCCATAATTTCTGTTGCTAAGTTATGTGAATTTTGCCCCATTCACAACATTTCTTGCGTAATGAAGTGAATCACTGCAGTTGTTAAGTAAGTAACATGGTTGTAAAGCGAATCTGGCTTCTTGACTTCTTTGCTTGTCTGGTCACAAAAGGTGATCACATGACCCCCAGGGCACCGCAACAGGAGAAGGCAAGTGACAAATTGTGCATCATGATAGACTTCACACCTTATGTGCAACGTTGTGATTCAAGCATGAAAACGTCATGAAGCACCCACTGTTTTGGCATCATGGTGATTAGGAGCAGAATTCTATGGTCACTGGAGCCTTCGTGTTTATGACTGTTCACTTCAAAATCCCCTCTGTGAATAATTGATTTTTGGTCAGCCTCAGTGTTAACCATCTCAGTTAAGAAATAGGAAATGTAAACAAGTACTTCGCCCAGAGCCCCTTATGAGGGAGCTGGGTGGTTAAAAAATTAGGTGAGACGGAGAAAGAGATCACTAAAATAGGTATTGTGGACAAGATTCATTTGGCCCAAAAAAATATATGTTTGCTCCAAAATTGATTTGTAAGGTAATAATCCGCAAATCAGATTTTACATGTAGGATGGGTTTGACCTTCCATAGGGCCTACTATGGAGATGGCACAGTGGTTAAATGCAGCACTGCAGGCTACTTCAGCTGACTGCAGTTCTGCAGTTCGGCTGTTCAAATCTCACCGGCTCAGGGTTGA